CAATGATATAAAATATAAAATCAAAATAATTTCCATGCCTGAAGATGACTCAATGTACTGTCGAAAGTACTTGCGTATTAAAGAAAGACCTTATACAGCTTAAAAACAAGGATCATAATATTCATCGAGTGGTTGGTAGGTTAATGCATCTTTAAAATTTTGTTAGCGACGGTATTTCGCCATTTTCTATCATTAACTTTACTAATTTACTTTTTGTATGAATGATTTATTGTAATATAAATTGAACTGCACCACATATTTGATTTAAAAGAACTGATTCACGTGCAAATTTTCGAGATAAGAACTGAGACATTACTCTACTTATTGAACTATTTAGTTCATGCCACATTGTCTCATAAACTCCTACAACAAAAAATTCTCCAATTGCTATATTAGTAAAAAAAAAACGCATTCACTTAGATTTTTAAAAAAAATCAACGTTAGCATTACGACTGCACGCTCCACAAGTTTGTATCCGTTATCAATTTGTGTGTGTGTGTGTGTGTGTGTGTGTGTGTGTGTGTGTGTGTGTGTGTGTGTGTGTGTTAATACCAAGTGGCGACAGTCTGTTTTATGCTGGAGCACAATGTTCAGGTCATCCCCAAAACAAAGCTTATTTAATGCTAATTAAATGGTATCTTGTTGCTCTGCATCGAGTCGGAACATGAAACATTGTCGTTCCCAAGACAAACAATTTATTTGAATGTCGATGCGGCTAAAAAATAAATCTGAACCCCTGGGGTCAGCACTTCAATAAACAACAGAACCGGCATGAGGAAATTCAAAGAGCCTCGTTATGATAGTCTAATCACCTAAATAGTCGTAATAATACTCGTTTTAAGGCGTAACAATGTCGACGAGAAAAAATATTGCCGCTTATGAATAATTTACTTTGTCATTTTAACGTCAATAACGATTGGGAATAAGAGAAAAAAGATACAAGCAATAATAACAATGAAAGAAAAAGCTTTCACAATACGAATTTAATATTCTAAAAGAAACATTACTTACGGTTGGTTAATGTTTTAGCATTGAAATTGTTCTTAATCGAATAAGTCTACCTACATAAAATTTACATCATTCGCTCGTCTTTACATGTAAAAGTTCAGTACAAAAAAGTCTGCCACTTTCTATGGTAATGGGAATGCTAATATAAGCCGTTTCCTTATAAGGAAACATTCGACATTCATTGACAGAGCAACCAGCGCTACTATACTTAAGCTTTCTATGGTAATGGTAATATTAGACCTTTCCTTATAAGGAAACATTCAGCATTCATTGACAGAACAGCCAGTGCTACTATAGTAAAGCTTTCTATGGTAATGGGAATGCTAATATAAGCCGTTTCCTTATAAGGAAATATTCGGCATTCATTGACAGAACAGCCAGTGCTATGATAGTTAAGCTTTCTATGGTAATGGGAATATATACGTTTCCTTATAAGGAAACATTCGGCATTCATTGACAGAGCAGCCAGTGCTACTATAGTTAATCTTTCTATGGTAATGGGAATATTAGCCGTTTCTTTATAAGGAAACATTCGGCATTCATTGACAGAGCAGCCAGTGCTATTATAGTTTAGCTTTTATTCACTCCCAGTCCATGGAACTGAGATCAAAGTGTAATATCTGCTTTCATTGTGTTTCTTTCTTCGGACACAGCGCAACTGAAAAAATATTGAGAAGTGCCCGGTAGCGGAGAACAGCTCCCTGCGGCAGTACCTCCCATCATTGCGCAAGAGTTAGTGGTCGATAATAATGCCAACGTCAGCGCAAGCGACGGTTGGCCTATTTTAGAACATGACCCGGGTGCACACGCTCAGGCTCCACACATTAAACGGAGTTAGTGTCACACCCTGCCAGTATGAAGAGTGTACCTTCCTCTTTTTGAGTAAGGTCGCGTCTACTTATCGTCTCTCGGTTGCGTCTCTGTCCTTGGACAGAGTGCTCTCAGGGTCTTCTCTTCAAAGGACAGAGGGGCAACTGGGAAAATAACACTGAAGAGGTGCCAAGCCCTGGGGAACAGCTGCCAGAGGCCGTGCCCTCCTATTGCACGAGAGGGAGGGTTCGGTGCTCGCACCGAAGCCAGCGCAACCGACGGTTGCGGGGTCTGAGGGGAATTTTTGTTTCTGTTCCGGGCGTACGCGCTCGCGTTCCCATCTAAAAATAGACCTTGTGTCACATCTCATCCTAGTGGGGGGACAGAGTAAATACCGTGAAGCAGCAAGTAAATACAAAGTGTAGTATCTGTTCTCCTCATCTCTAATGCTAATGGCAATATTAGCTGTTTTCTTATAAGGAAACATTCGCTATTCATTGACCGAACAGACACTGCTCTCCTAATTACGCTTTTATCCATTCGCCGACATTCGGGCTGGGACTAACGTGTATAATCCTCATCGCTAATGGTAATAGTAGCCGTTGTCTTATAAGAGAACTTTCAGTATTCATTGATTGAGCATTCAGTACTTCTTTCGGTTTAAATGTACATTTTATCTATTAAAACAATGTTTCAGGAAAATAGGTTTCTAAAGTCCAGTAACTGTTATCGCTCTTTCCAGTTGTGTTGTCGACTTTCTTCCTAATATTCTGTTTGAAATAGTGTAGAACGTCAATATCTTGATTATGTTATTATTTTCTCGTCGAGTGACATGTGCTATTCAGTTGTTGCTGTTGTTGAAAGTCCTCGAGTGACGTAGTTTCTGTTATTTCTTACAGTTCTTGGTCTGTGATTCTGTAGCGCCAATTCAAAAGACTGAATGGTTCTCGTTAAAAACAACAGGCTTCATTCAGCTAAAGCCACTTTTTGCCATTGATCTAAGAAAGCAGTTATATGCAGCTGACAGTAGAGATATTTCTGAACGTGTTTAGTGCTATGCATGACATCCATATGAAAACCTCAATCTGACATGGCTACTGAAGAACATGATCCTCGAGTTTTTATATTAATCTTTTGATTTTATAGCAATTTGCCGTGATGTTCAAAACTAAACCTAAACAGTTTCTTTCTTTCTTTCTTCAGTTTACTTATCTCCTAAAATAAATTTGTTATAACTGATCCAGAGACAGAACTATTTGAAATATTTGTAGTTACAAATATTTCAAGTTAGAAGCCACCCTGTCGAGCGGCATTTAAGCTAGCTCCTGCGGAATGTTCTTGATTGGCCCTTCATCATAATAAGCAGGGAGGATTACATGCATCAGGCAACAATAAACTACAGAAGAATGCAAAATTGAACGCTGCATTTAAGTATGGCATTAATATTTAAGCTTACCTTTTAAAAGTTCAACGATAATTCTTCTGCTACCACTTAATTTAAAGACAGTTTGATGTACGTAGGTCCTTAATTTCCGTAGAAACAATTATTTTTATTTCATGGGTGCTTTTGCCGGAATTTGCAATTAATTTCAATTATTCCCAAATTTATTTCCAAATTATAAAAATTGTCATTGTACAAAAGAATTCGTCGCCAAAAAATCACGTGAAAAATCACCGAAAACAATCACAGTAATGAAAATTTGGGAATCCAGATTTTCAGGATTCTGGGTTCGAATGCCAACAAGGAACACGTAACTTTTTAGCCATTAAACAAACCAGTTTGTGCTGTGTCCGAATGTTGGGTAATGTACATCTGGGAATAAGTATATAGGTATTAACAAATATTCAATTGCTCATCAAGTCAGTTGCGAGAACGGTAGAAATCTGAAGAAAACAAAATCTTTTCTTGTCTCCATTGCTTATTCCGTTACTGCAAAACAAGACATTTAACAGGAAATAAACGAATCAATCAACAGAAACTTCAATCTTATCATCAACTTGCGCACCCCACGCTGGTGGATAATACAAGATTATAAACAGATTTGCTTATGACAATCTTTTGCATATAAAGAGTCGGTTCAATACGCTCTGACAATTACTCGAGAACAGACATCGAAAAATAAATGTATCTATTTTTTTTGCATGAAAAGATATTCCTTTAAGTTTTATATATATATATATATATATATATATATATATATATATATATATATATATATATATATATAGGTAATGATCCGTTGGTATATAATCCAAGTGAATCGTAATAATATAATATAAAATATTAAAACTGATTCACATAGAGAGCTCAATGTTTTATTCAAACAGAGCATATAAATTACATACAATAGGAATTAAGATTACTCCATGGTTATGATCATTTCACCTTACAAATTAATCTTAATTTGTAAGGATTTTCAAACTGATTAGGCTAATAAGAAAATATAAAAAGAAACTTACTTAAAACAAATTTTAAAAACCAGGCAGAAGCAAAGAAAAGACCGTTGCATTCAGCTATTTCAACAGTAAACGGGTGGGACGAAATGCCAGTCTAGTAGCACACTTAAATTTATGGATTCGGGTCACAAGGGAAAAAGCTCTTCAGAGCAGTTGCCATGAAAATATTTGTAGAAAAGATGAAGCCGTGTCACGTCGGCGAGAAAGTGACTGAAATCGAGATGCCAAATCAGGGTCGATTACCTTGCAGATCCTTCTTTGGATTTTGTCAAGAACCTCGAGATTAATAACAGGAGCATCAGACCAGATCTAACAACAGTATTCAATGCATGGATAAATGGTTGATTTGTAAATGTGCAAGATGGACTCTGATGAGAAAAACCTTTTGGCGCAACACAGAAATTCAACTTTCCTTGCAAATCAATTTAGTAGTTGAAAGAATTGATTCATTGATTTGTTTTCTACGACTTATCAACCCTTTGCAGGTTATTTAAATTTCTTTAGATGGAGGGCAGATAATACTAATTTTGTTATACAAGTCTTACTAACTGAGAAGAGAAGAGGTGGATACATCCCTTTCTCAAGGTTATTTACGTGTAATACCGCGAACAAAACTGAGTTTCAATTCCACTTGGGTTCGCTATATTGATTGGAATTGAAACCCGGTTCTCCGATTAAATATTCCGATCCATTATCAATTACACAACCCGTACATCCAAGCTTACATACAACACCTGGTACTCTCAAGCAGTCATCCATCGTGATACTGACCAGGTTCGACTTTGCTTAACTTCGGTGATCATACGGGAAACGGTGATTCAACGTGACGAGGCGTTTTTTCATTAAAATATGAGTTATCTGCCTCAGGGTATGAGGCAGATAACTCATATTTTAATGAAAACATTGTGGCAGTCTTCGCCTTCTATAAATAGATAGATAAGTTGAGAGAAGAGTACGACTGGCCTCTGTCTCATACGACGATGGAATTAACAGCGTTACTGTGGTCGAGATGTTAAGGTATGGAAGAGTAATTTTCGTTCAAAGATTCTCTTCTCCCACAAACAACGTGGCATGACAGTGACGAGACATGTTAATAAAGATGTTTGGCGATGGAACAAAGTACAGGATGTGGACTTCTACATTTGACAAAGGTATTCTTGCTAAGAGTAAATACAAGAAGCAACGACCGCAATTCAAACAGCTTGACGATTGTGTTAACTGTTGAAACAATACAGATAGATAGATAGATAGATAGATAGATAGATAGATAGATAGATATTAACACACTGAGATAGATAGCTAGGAAACGACTGATATAGGTATATCTAGACATATATAGAGATAGACAAAATAGCATATTTAATGGTACAGCTTGCCTTCATATTTTCAAACACACATGAAAATTTAGATATTTTGTAAATATATGTTCTTACTTTCCATGGTATCAAGCAAACACATGCACACACATACATATATATACATGACGGGTAGAATCAACATGTTTTAGTGGACTCAGCAGTTTTCAATCAGCTTGTCTGAATCGTCTTCAAGAAGCGAGAGAACGATCAAAATGGTCAGCCAATCTCATCCCGCAATCCTTACTCTTCCTCCACATGCGCCCTCCTTTGTGAATCACGAGAGGGTCTTAAGTGTCACCTAAGATTATCGCACAACATTTCATAACTGAATCAATTAAGTCGTCAGATCCTCATACGTCGAAACCGACGGGAGAGTCCATTATATATGGTGCGATGTACAAATTGTCATCTAAATTACAATCAACCCTCATGCGCGAAATTGAAAATATAAGGTTAATTTGGATTTAATATAATTTTGTATCAATCTCTTAGTAGTATTAGTAACATTTTGTACGGATGTATTGGTATTTGGTTGGTATTTTTGACATTTTACATTGATTGGTTATTGTTAATAACATCTTATATAAAGAATCTTTAGTCAACAGTTGCATATTAATTTACCAAATAATTCTATACGTTTATATTATTTACTAGTTTCTTAAAGAAGCTATTTATTTATCAACTATAAAAAAATTATGTAGGAAACTCACAAAGCATATAACTTAAGATTTTGTTAAATTGCCTTCCTATCCCGTTTATACTTCTTAGAAAATGGCACATTGTCTAGTTTGTATAATTTATGTATCCATTAACATCCGCTCCTGTTTATGTCTGGCTGCCGTTAAATGCCAATCTACGGGTCATGACTCATATATAAAAAATAATTTTTAAAATTTTTGCTTCTTCGCTTAGTTTAAATTTAACGTAGGTCATATTTGATCAGAGTAAAGCCCACAAACCTTATAACACCCACCCTTGTTTCTTTTTTCATAAAAAAGCTGTATTTTGCTTTTAAATCTAAATTAATCTTTCACTCGCCAGTAATTTACAATCGCCTGATGAGATGCATTGATACGCATCGAAACACGACAGCAATTGTGTAGCAATTTTGCCATGTTTACGGTGTAATACCATAAAATAAGGAATATTGCTCTACTTTGCATTGAGCCCTCTTTTAAATGTTGCAAACGTTGTAATTGTATTCTATTCGTTCTCATCTAACCTGAATATATATATATATTTGTGTGTGTGTGTGTGTGTGTGTGTGTGTGTGTGTGTGTGTGTGTGTGTGTGTGTGTGTTATGCACATGTTATGACGTGAATCGAAAACTTAAATTATGTCTTATAATTAACAATTATGATGTGACAAATGTCACTAACATGTCATACTTTGTTTCTCAGTCTTTCAATCATCCCGTAGATATTTCCTTTCATAAAACAAAAGTTCCATCGAATGTTTGAATGTTTACAAAGCATTTTCTTATATATAAGACTTATTATTATATTTTCTTATATATCTTTTCGTTTGTGCAAATATGTAAAAATGTAACTTCAAATAAATTACTTATATTGACTCGTGTGTCTTGTATTTTATCTTGACTAAATTACCGGTTCTCGCCACAGTTTAATTTTTTCCAGTTTAGTTGTGATCAATTTAAGTAAGCGATTGTGTTGTTGATGGCTTTTATAATTATATTACTTAGTTATTCGAATAAAGATCCGTTCTGTCTTGAAAGTGGTAACCACTTTAATATTTTGCTCAAAGCTAGATAGTAAACAGAAATAGTCAATGTTCACATTTTAATAACATGTTTTGATAATTTACCAAGCTTTGATATGACATGTAGGATATGAAATTAACGATTGCCAAAATGTTTAAACCTATCGAACTACTTTAATTTAGATGATTACGTTAATACAATTTTATAGCATAGCATATTCGAATATGTATCACCAGTTATCATTGGCATTAGAAAAGAAATGTGACCTACGCTGCAGAATCTGTATCCAAAATTCCGATTCAACTGAGTAAAATTACAGCAACATCAATTAAAATGGATAACATATGTAACTCGAAGAGAAAATAATGACATAATTTCTTGATATGGTTGTATACGTTGGCTAATTCTGTTAGGAAAGGTGATAGTGGGGAAAAAAGACTGGGCGTAGATTAATATTTGGATAATATTCAATGGTGGCACTCTCGAAGATTTTCCTTCTGTAAGAGTTATTTTCTTTTTTTATGTGTGTAACGTTTTTAAAATCAAAATTGTGGTTGAATTTATTTCTATGTATGAACAGTGCATTAGTTAATTTGTTTTTTGTGAGGTCTCTTTTGGGCTTATAGATGCGTTTCTTTTTTTTTTTTTTTTTTTTTTTTTTCAAATTTCTGCTTGTTTCTCCAATATATTGGGAGGAACAATTTTGGCAATTTATTTTATAAATGCCTGTTTCAGAAATATTAATTGCTATTAGTGTTTGAGGATCTGATTATATCCATAATGGTTTTGGAAGTGTTTGTGACTATTTTAAAATTATTTAGATGAGATAGGTTGTTCTGGATATTTTTTGCCTTGAAAAAGTCTACCTTGAACGAAACGCGTCGGCTAATAATACATGGATTGAATACTTTATACATATTGTCTTTATCTACAGGTTAACTCTGAGAAATTTTTCATATATATATATATATATATATATATATATATATATATATATATATATATATATATATATATATATATATATATATATATATATATATATATATATATATATATATATATATATATATATTTAAATTATATTTATATATATATATATATATATATATATATGCATATAATATATAATATATATATATTATATACATTATTTACATTATTCGGACTATTGTCCTCATCTTTGTTGCCATATATTTATTACAACGTTTCAGCCTTCTTCAGGTTGTTGGAATGTCGAACTGAACTCTTTATTTCGCTCACTGGGGTAGACTGTTCTAGTTCCATGTTTTTTTTGTTTTGTTTTTTCTATCAGTTATCTTCTGTTAATTCCCCTCTCCAAGTTCTCCACTGCCTTAACCGGGTATTGAACTCACAATCTTTGGGTCCTGTTCACTGTGCCATGTGTCCTTGAGGACATCTGTACACAGATTTCTGTGTATTATAAACCTAATGTCATCAGCTACAATTTTTTACCAGTGCACATATTGCAATTTTTGCTGTTATCACATCATGTTTTTAACGGAGCTCATATTGCAACTTTTGTTGTTATTATCGCTTTTTCTCTCACTCCTTATTACTGGTTCCCATATTGTATTCATTTCTATGCTTGGTCGGCTCAGGAGATTTTTCTGGCCTAGCATATATATATATATATATATATATATATATATATATATATATAGCTGGATACTCGTATTCGAGGATACCCGTCTACTTGGGTGGTTAGCCAATCCCTACTGCAGGCGCTTGCTCAAGCGCATTTGTTTTTTTACACACCCAGAGAGCTCACCTGCAACTATGCTGAGCAGACCTTAGTTACAATTTCGAGGAAAGAGCGAGTTATCTAGCATGATCAACTATTTGAAGAAGGCCAGCACACACAAACCCTCGGCCACGATGACATGTGACCGTGATAGCACAGCTATCGACGGCTTCCAAGGGTTCCGTCTACCTAATTTCACTCAAAGGTTTGGGTCAATCCATGGTATGGCTAACAGGCACTTTCCAAAGGTGCCGCGCGCTGGGATCGATCCTCCAGTCCGATAATAACAGGATATCCTCTTTTCTGACAAATCGACCATGGTGAGATTCGAGCCAGGGTATAAAGTTCTAACGACTCAGCCACGTGCACACACACACACACATATATATATATATATATATATATATATATATATAAGGAAGAGGTTATAGTAGTTCCAACGAGAGAAAGGTGTGTATAGTAAAAAGGAGATAGAAAGAAGAGACAAACCGCAAACGTTTTTGGTAGTAATGTGAATTATTTTAAAAAAATTATTATGCTTTATTTTTTATGGAAAATAAAGCATAATATTTTTTAAAAAGCCACATTACAACCAAAAACGTTTGCTGGTTTTAATATATATATATTATATATATATATATATATATATATATATATATATATATATATATATATTTAATATTTGGGGCGTCAGTATGTGAATACATAAACAAAAAGGCATCTTATGCGAAACAACAAACTTTATCGAAAAAAAGACTGAGCATAATTTCGACTTAAAGAAAATGTTTAAGTGAAAGCGAAAGTAATTTAAGTGTAAAATGTACGGAAAGTGCAATAATTTATGAGTTTTGCATGCTATGTTTACCTCCAGGTTCATACATGTTTTCTTTTTATTATGATGTTATGTAAAAGATCCCCTTTGTGTTCATGTATTCTTTTATTTTAATTCCGAGATATCTATTGCAAATATGTGCGTCGC